AGCCTAAGGGTGGGTGTGGGCGGGGTCTGAAATGGGTGTGCGGGCTGAGAGGGCGGGGCCTAAGCTGGAGGGGGTGGGGTCTGAGATGAGGGGGTGTGGCCTAAGGGTGTGTGCAGTCTATGAGTGAGGGGTCCCCAAGACCTGATGGGGATCCCCCAAAGCCCCGCAGGACGTGCTCCAGAGCCCCCTAAGATGATCCAGTTCCTCCCAAAGCCCCTCAAGACCTGATGGGGAGCCCCAAAGCCCCCCAGGACATGCCCCAGAGACCCCTAAGATACTCCAGAGCCTCCAAAGCCCCTCAAGATCTGATGTGGAGCCCCCAAAACCACCCAGGACGTGCTCCAGAGCCCCCTAAGATGCTGCAGTGCCTCCTAAAGCCCCTCAAGAACTGATAGGGACCCCCCAAAGCCCCCCAGGACGTGCTCTAGAGCCCCCTAAGATGCTCCAGTTCCTTCCAAAGCCCCCCAGGATATTGGAGAGCCAGAGAAGATTGTGACCCTAAGGTAGTCAGCCAGCGAGGATCTAAGAGAGAAAGAGAAAAGCATCGATCAGTAGGACATAAAAAGGTGGAAGGCTGCTTTCTGGGTGCTCCCCTGTTGCAGGAGGCCCAGCGTTGCCATCGCAAACAAAACCTGCTTGATCAGAGGCAGCAGCGTCCCGATAAAACGACCGGGGGCAACTTCCAACCCCCCCCTCTGCCCCCCCCAGGTGCTGGCGCAGCAGCGAGCGGAGCAGCAGCGCCGGGAGCTGGCCCAGGCCACCAGCTCGGATGCTCCGATGGACCCGGTGACCTTCATCCAGACGCTGCCGTCGGAGCTGCGGCGCTCGGTGCTGGAGGACATGGAGGACAGCGTGCTGGCCGTCATGCCGCCCGACATCGCCGCCGAGGCGCAGGCGCTGCGCCGGGAGCAGGAGGCCAGGCAGAGGCAGCTGATGCACGAGAGGCTCTTCGGTCACTCCAGCACCTCCGCGCTCTCTGCCATCCTCCGCAGCCCCGGTGAGAAGCCGCCGTGTCCCCTCCGCGCGCCGCCTCCCGCTCCTCTCCGTCTTCCCTTTGTCCCTTATCCCCCATCCCTCACGTCCTCCATCCCTTCTCAGTAAGTTTCCCTTTGACTTCTCCCCCCCGTTGG